CTTTCCCTAGCAGAAGAGGGGAGGGAGTTGCCTTCTGTCTTCTACAATTAACTGGAAATTTGGCAATTCTTAGCAGAAAGAAATTTAAGTAAACTAATATGATAATATGGCCATAAAGGTTAACTTTTAGTATAAGACCAAGGTCTTTGTCTGAATGAAGGGTGATCAGATATAGAAAGTGGAAACATTTGAGATGCCCCCAGGGTCCCCAAGGTAGACTGGATCCAGCATGTGTAAACGTTGAAGAAACTGCATGTGCACAAATTAGCATACCAATCTGAAAGGCTTCAAACATTTCAACTAATAAAATCCACTTTTATATTTTATATTCATTGTCTTCAATGGACCTAGTATAAACCTAGTATTACACATACAATGCACTTTAGACTGAACAGCATCGTTAAAAAGAAGCTGAACTACTAATACAATTCAAAAAACTTTCAAGGAAGTTGTATGAAGAGAACTGTCATGGTTGCAACACAAAAGTAATAATAAATACATGATAAATTCACTGTAGTGAATATTAGATTCTACTATGGGCCTTATGTCTTCAGTAGTCTATGCCGCACACAGCGGTTGATGCCATATACTACACTCAGAGACACAGGTCAGAAGGCCAGAGTAATGGCATGTTTATCAGTTCATAGTTGCTGCAGGATATAGTATTACATAAAAAGCTTTCCTGATTCTTTTCCAAGCAAAGCAATTAATTCTTACAGCTGCATTAGATCACAGTGGATTAATATCTGTGAAGCTATGACACTCAGTAGTTCACGTAGAAACATCACAGAATTATAGGGTTGGAAGTGATCTCAACAACCTTTAAGAACCTGCAGTAAAGAAAGCTCATCAGTCCAGTAGGTACAGAAGGCAGATATCTGGGACCACTACATTCCTGTTGCTATAGAAGTGACTTACTGATTTTTTCACAGGAAATTGCCTGGGAAGAAATCCTGCTCCTATTGAGGTGAATGACTTTGTGGCAGAGCACAGGGTGTGCCTGCCACTTTAAGGGCCTGGAGCTGGCAGCCTCCAGGTGCCTGATTAGGGCAGTCATTTTGGAG